ACCAAACGACCGAACAGCAGAACGACGGTCCAGACGACCTTCCGGAAGACCACACTATGACACGCACTGCACCAGCCCAGCGAGGTGGGTGCAATGTGATTGGTTGGGGGGCCCGCCATTGCCCCATGATCACCCTGCAGAGGGAGGCACAGGCCACCGGCCAGTGGCAATCAATCAGGAGGCTCCACTATCACCCCAAAGAGGGAAGCCCAGGCCACCCTCTGAGGAGCAATCGATGGGGTAGGGGGCTCCGCGATTGATTTCCCCGCAGAGGGAGGCCCAGGCCACTGGCTGGGGGGCAATCAATGGGGGGGGGGGGCTCCAGGGAACCAGGGAACCGGGGGTGTGTGGTGGTGGATGCGGGCAGCACCAGACCAAGGTGCAGGTGGGGGGCAGCAGGAGCTGTGAGGGCCCTGGCAGCCGGGACTGCGCAGGCCTACCCTTGCACAAATTTCGTGCATTGGGCCTCTAGTATAGTATATAAATGTCTAATCATGATGTTGTACCCCTGAAACTAATATAATATTGTATGCCAACTACTATCACAAAATGAATGTTTTTAAAGAATTCAATAAATATAAGACTGAGTTGTTAGAAGCCACAGGAGCATCTGGATTGTCCTGAAGTCACTAAGTATTTAACAGTAGGAGCTTCCTGTGCATAAATACAAAGTAAGGAAGAAATATAATGAACTAAGAACATTCTAAATCTACAGAAAAGAAACATTCTAAATTGAGTACATCTTTGAGAAGTAACAGGGTAAGAGAAAGCCCACCCTTGTTTACAAGAATATAAAAAATTGAATTATCTATATAACCCAATATCTGTAATTTAGTTTTATGTAAAAAATTACATTCAATAACAAAAACAAGAACATGCTGCAGTCACCTGTATATGTTTTCAAATCTCATCTTTATAACTACTGATTGTTAACTTGTGTGTCAATTTGCAGGCTTTTGTTCTTATGTTATAACTAACCAGAGAACCTAGAACCATTACAATGTAAAATTGTATTTTTGCTTCATTAAACGAAATCGTTATGCCTTGGCCAGTGTCACTTAGTAGATAGTCAACCCATGCACTGAAGGGTCACAGGTCAATTCCTGTTCAACCGTTCATGTGTGAGCTGCAGTTTGATCCCTGGCCCCAGTGGGGGCACATGCAGGAGGCAACCAATCAATGTGTCTTTCTCACATCAATGTTTTTCCATCTCTCTCTGTGTCTCTCTCTTTCTTCCTCTCTCTCTCTTTCCCCTTCCCTCTCTCACTGCCTTCCACTCTCTCTAATAATCAATGGAAAAAATATCCTCGGGTGAGGATTAAGCAAAGAAAAATTTAAAGTTTTTAAAAATTGTTAGGCAATAAAAAGTTTTATGCTTTTAAAAACTAGACCCTGGCCCTAGCTGGGTTGGCTCAGTGGATAGAGCATCAGCCTGCAGACTGAAAGGTCCCAGGTTGGATTCCGGTCAAGGGCACATGCCCGGGGTTGCAGGTTCTATCTCCAGTAGGGGGCCTTGCATTGATCAGGAGGCAGCCCATTAATGATTATCTCTCATCATTGATGTTTCCCTCTACCTTCCTCTCTGAAATCAATAAAAATATATTTAAAAATAAATAAATAAAATAAAATAAAAACTACACCCTGTTTAAACTTTTATTCCATACAGTATTTACACATTATTTCATTTTACAATTTCCAAGTGTAATCCTCACTTTTAAATCACAACTTTATTGTTTAGTTTTTCACTTGGCACATATTTTTTCCAAGTAGAAAATCATTACAAGATTATGACAACCAATTTTTTAACCTATTTATTATATTTGTACAAATTACAGAGTGTAACTCACTATTTGGCTGTCTTTGTAAACAGTGACTACAGAGTTTATGTTTTCATTTTATTATATAAACATTACGAAGACAATTTCTTATGTAATTTTTATTTTTTTTCTTAGGAGTTATGGAAAGCCTTAATGTTATATTTCCATACAAAGGCTAAATAGTTTCTTGAAACCCATCAAAATGGGGCTGCACTGCTCTGAGAGACTTTACAAACTTTATTCTTTCACACCCTCCAAGGATGAACTATCAACCCAATTTTTCATTATCCAATTCAAAGGAAACTTTCTGAAGAAAACATTTCCTTCTCCATCCTTCATAAATCCAGCTTAGAAATTAGAATTAGAAACATTTTCATTAATTTTGGGGCCAGAAGAAACTAGGCTTTCAAATTTGAGAATTCTAGGACATTAACAGATTTACCTCTGTACACCTTGGTTCGCTTTCATGTTTTCTTGCAAAATATGCAGGTCCTGCAGATATAATACTTAGAATCAAAAAGATCACAGTCCCTACTGACATCCTAGCAGCCTCATGGAGTCCTAACAATCAGCTCTCAGTTCACAAGTACTTTCACAAGAGGGAAAAGAACTTGCTCTAACAATGAAAAAATTTTAATTATAAGGTGAGTTGGAGATTATATGCACTGCCTTTTAGCCACAGAGAAAGTAGAAAAAATGTGTCCAATTAACAGGAAAGAAATCACGTTGCCCTGAGCAACAAAAAATCACCATTGCCCTGAGCTTTCTATGAGCCAGGCCTACTCCAGGGGAGGACAAGTTGCTATATATTTATTGGGAGCCCTGTGTTAACTTGTATGATTAGGATTCCAAGTTCTTCCTTTAAATAAAAATAGTCATAGATGTCATGTTTGCCTTCATTTGGGACAGTGTGGGTGTGAGGACCCTATCGAGAGTGCGTTGGATGTTCAAGGCCACTCTGAGCATGGGAATCCTAATCAGGGTGTTCAAGGCTAAGTTGCTATAAGCAGGTGCAAGAAGCAAGGACACAGCTATCTTACTGTATGCATACTGCAAAAGGGTTCCCTTCTATAACCCAAAAATAGTGAGGTCACTATTTGGAAAGAAGCCTCTTTGTCTAAGTTAGTATTAAAGTACGTTGCTAACCAGCAGGTAGCGGCTCAGAGGTGGCTGCTTAGTGAGGCTGTGCTCCAAGGATGGCTCCTGTATAGCTCCTATGTTGAGTCTACTGCTACTTTGTAGGAAAGATGTATTGTTACCTAGCCGGTGTATGGCTACTGGGGACTGTACTTTGAAGAACTGCTTTGTCTAATAGCTCATGTCACAGCAATGGCTATTTGGGTTACAATAAAGACTCTCTTATATACCCACAACTTCTCAGGGTTTCTCCATCAAATACCTGGCATCCAAGAAGGTCCAGTCCTTGGCAGAGGGGCTCAGATCCGACGTTAGGGGAGACCAAGGAGGCAAACCAGTCCCCACTTGCCCATCCAGATCCATTTTCTGCTGTTAGAGCAGTCAGGTAACTTGTTATGTTATCAGGGAAATGCACAGGTGGAATTTTTCGGTTGCTAGTGGGAGTGGGATTCTTACGATATCTTGAGAAAAAGAATTTCCTAAGACTCACATAGGAGAATGAAATGTGGTAGAAAGGTTTATTCGAGTGAAATTATATCCCTGGGGTTGCAAAGTCCCATTTCTCTTAAACTAGTCCTGGAAAATGTGCAGCTGGGGCTTCAGCAGAGCTAGAAGCAAAGCCAGTGTCCAAAGTTTCCATTCCATGAAGGAGTTGAGTTGGGCACACCATCAGTCTAGTCACAGTCCATCCGTCTATTGTATGGAGTCCACAGGGCTGTGAGTCACATGGGGAGCACACGCCCCTGTAACAGGAGAGCTAGGAGCACAAGAGGGCCAAGAGAAAAGTCCTTTGATCAGGAGCTTATCAATCTCAAATCCGCCCTTGTGGTGGCCTGTCTATTCTGGCCAATGCCCTGAACCCAGGTGTCTGACAGATAACTACCTTCCTTACCTCATTTAGACCTTACTGGGCATATTTTTATTATCTAGTCCCTCCCCCCAGTGGTGTGCGGGGAATAGGCCTGGAGAATGTTAAGTGGCAGATTCCTGACAGAGCTGTACAAATGGCACGCCTATATTATCTGGCCTTTCTTTTACTCCTTTTCTGTAAATAAATAAGTAAATAAATAATAACTGGGTAAATTATAATGGTATCAGTAAGACTGCAAAACAGGATAATTTTAGGGCCATTTAATACAGGATTTTCCTCCAAAATGTGGGCTTTGAATCCAAAATAAGAGTTCTGAATTCAAATGAAATGCACAGTGGAATAAGCAAAGTAAAATTAACTTATTTTGTGTCTCTAAAAACAAATGTGGGCAGGGGGTACAAAAATCCCGATATGGTAACAGAAAATAAAAAAAAAATTACTATTCTAACTATTAAACAGAATTAGAATAAAATGCACTAAAAGGTGATAAAGGAACTCACATACAGTGTCCTTATAAGCTAATTGCAGTTGCAGTTCCTCCCTGCCTGACTGTAAGAATTTGGGCAAATGACCAGCAGAAATGCTGCCTGAACATCCTCTTCCTTTTCTGGGAAGCCAGCAGTGAAACTGCAGGTGGAGCAATGAAACTACATGATGAAGGCTTCCTGTTTCTCCCCTGAGGGATTTGTTATTCTGTCTTACTGGCAGCTATATGCAGTAGCCTCAGCACCCAGTTCAAGCAACACTTTCTTTTCCACACAGATACCGTTAAACACTTATCCAATTGAACTGCATTTAATTGGTTCCTTTTCAATTACAGGAAGAATATGTGTGTGTGT